ATATATAGAGAGAGAGAGGACAGGTTTGCTGCAGCTCATTGAACAACTGCCTGACACACAAAGGATCATGGGACACTGATGGCTGTAATGCAGCTTCTGAACCTAAGTGTTGAAACATTACAAAGAATATTGTCTATTTAGAAAAGCTAAAGTCCCAGGATACATTTTTTCAGATAAGAGTGACGTTCAGCTCGGATGTGTCTGCAGGGTCTGAGCGTCTGAGAGCTGGAGACGATAAAAGCTGGAAACGTTTGATTTTATCACCCGCGGCTCTTGGCTCTGCCTCAACGACTCCTTTACATCCCATCAATCACGAGAGCCAGCGACGGGAGACGGAGCAGGTGATGAAAGCAGGAGATATCTCAAAGTGCTCTGCCTGAGGAGGAACGCGCTGGAAAACATGGCGATGACGACGACGAGGGGAAACCAAAACGCTTTGCATCACATGTTCAGATCCGTCTTTTTTTAATTTGGCCCTGGAGTTTTCTCTAAGTTCTCCTGATAACTCCAACAGCCTCCCACATATTCCAGATGAATGTTCCTCCTCAACAAACTTTAAAAAACACTCGGGCTGTGAGGAGTGAGGAATTCAGAGATAACGACAGGATGCATTACAGACTACGTTCTCTGAGTTTTCTGCCTCGTCATGATGATCCTGTCAATCAAGGTCAAAGCTGACGGTGATTAACTCTGATTGGTCAATTGTAGAAGGTCGTGACCTCGACACGTCTTGATTCACATGTGTGTGTGTGTGTGTGTGTGTGTGGTGTCCAGGAACTACTCATGTTGTGGGGACCTAGATCTGTTTACATTACGTTTTGTTTCTGGGGACATAACGTGAATCCTTCAAGTTCAAGGTGAAGACATGTTTTAAAGTTAAAGTTAAAGTACGGGCTGTTCAGGTTTTAGTTCAATGAATGTGAGTCAATGTAACGTCTTATATAAGTTCTAGTTTCTTTGTATCTTCGTCAGCCTGACTTCAGTAAATCTTTACTTTATGATCACGGACTGATTCTTATCGTCTTTCCATTTGTTTCTAATCTCTATTCGTTTGAATGAAGCAGGAAGAATCACAGCTGTCAAACCCTCAAAACCCCGAGTCTCATCATCACCGTCGTGAAACCAAGTGTGTGTGTGTGTGTGTGTGAGAGAGAGAGAGAGAGAGAGAGAGAGAGAGAGAGAGAGAGAGAGAGAGAGAGAGCACGCTTCAGATAATTGCAAACATTTGTTAAAGATTTCAGGCCGAGCGTCGGCAGTGAGAGAACTCTGGGTAACTGCCCAACACCTGTACAGCACACGTGTGTGTGTGTGTGATTGATTGTTCCCTGTGATTAACCCTGATCTCCTGCAATCAGGGAGGTGATTAAACCTGGATCTGCTTCATTAAAATGTTTTGCGTGCGTGTGAGTGTGTGTGTGTGTGTGTGTTTTCACAGGAGGAACTCAAACTCACTTATTCTCATTTTTACGGGAAAAGAAAGGACGAGAAAAAGCAGCTGTCAGTTGTTCAGTTGTGTTCAGGTGAGTCGACACAGTTGATTGGACGAGATGTTGACGTTCATTTTTTTTTCTTAAAGCTTTTCTGTTTCTGTAATTTAAGCTTCATCAGGAGAACATTTTATTCATCATCCCTCCGATTTGAAAACATATTGTTCAAAGACTTTATACTTTGATTTGTCAGTTGATGACGACACAGCTAATTTTCAAGTATATATTATATTATTTATATACATTGCACTGAATCAGAACCACAGTGGGACATCATGTCTTGAACCGTCCCTGTTCATTACTTTTTGTCTCTTTTTTTGTTGTCCCCAGTTTATCTCTTACAGGTACTTGGTCCACTCCTCCTAACTGGGCCACGAGTTAACCACAGCAGCGCCACATATTCACCATTTACATAATTCAGGTCCACATCCAGGTTAGAACACATGTTTGCTTTGGGATGTTTGAGCCACATTAGGCTGATCCACTTTGTTCAGGCCAGATGTGCAGCATCATTGCCTGAAGTGGCACGTTAGAACACAAAGTGCATTTAGTTAAAAAGTTCCACAAACTAAAGAGGAAACACATGGAACAAACTATTTGTTCTTTCTGTGACAACGTTCCCTTCGAGTCTGCGGCGTCAGTTAGCACATGCTAACACTTACAGAGGCGCAGAGGGGAAACGTAGCATCTGACAGCTCGTGTGTTGGAATCGAGTGATAGAAACCAAACCCTGTTGGGAGGTGGTGAGCTCGCACGGGAAGGTTGCACATAACTCCCAGTGGATAAGAATGATTCCTATATAGTTTTTCTTATCTGGCTCACACATGTGCAAGTTGACGCTAAAAGCAATCGTCTCACATTATCCCACCCCAGGAGGAATCACGGTGAAACACGTTCGGGTTAAACAGAATCTTTATATCGTAAAAAGCACATTCAGAGAAGAAAAGTGGTTTTCGTGGTCGTCCTCTGTGACTTCACACATTCAGACCGTCAGAGGAAACCAGGACGACGTTCAAGGTCATTTAAACCAGGTTGTTTTCATTCGTGTCTCCAGCTTTCATTCATGTGGGGAGGAAACTCCTCCAACTGTTGGTTCTCTGTGAGCTGAGGTTCTGGTCTCTGGTGGAAAAGTCAGATCATTTCCTCTTCTCACAGGTTCGTCTGAATTTTGTCTGCGGTTGTTTGCCTCCATCAACCAGTGGCAGTCCCTCCAAGTACCCAGGATGTATTCACAGTAATATATATATATATATATATATATACATATAGTACTCATCATACTCATGATAACTGCTCTTTCCTAATATGTGATTTATTTGTACCCTGTGATTTACTTTGTAATCATTAATGTATTTTAATGATTTCAGGTTATTTGACACAGTCGTTATTTTAGAGAATATTTATTTTGTGTGTCAGGATATGTTTGATGTTCCTCGGCTGTAATAAAGTTAAAGTTGAACAGGACACGCGTCGTACAGAACTCAGTCTGTGTTCCGTCAGTGAGCGTCCCCTTCAGGCCGCCGGCTCCGAGCTGTTCCCCTGTTGATACGAGCGGCGTATAGAGTGACACATAATTCCTGCTGCGCTCTGAAACTCGACTCCTCTGTTTGTTGTTCTGGAGACTTCAGGTAGCAGCGTCTCCCGTCTTCTCTTCTTCTTCTCTCACTTTATTTGACAGAGCTGCCGCGACACATCCGGCCGAAAACCACATCTACGTCCACATCAACATTTACCCGCCTCAAACCACCTGTGATCAAAGAGGAGTTTCACTGTGGACTTTTTTTTTTTTTAAACAATCGAGCCACACTGACGATAGAGGATATATACATATATTATATAGAATCTCATTTTCCCTCCAAAAGCAACATTTTGACTTTAATTATCAGAGTTTCTACCTGATTTGTGTCTCAGTGTGTAATTCAGTGTTTAACTCTTGAAACAGATTGTAAGTAAATCAGGTATTTGTTCAGTGTGAGGGTCCAGCTGCTGCTCACACACGTTCTCATGTTGCCGTTGTAAATAAAGTTTGACTGATTGAGGCGATGGTTCACTTTGCTGCTCGGCTCGAGTTTCACCCTCAGTCTAAACACTTCCTGGTCTGGATGCTGGTGATGGTGTTGGTTTTTCATAACGGATCCAGT